GAGAATGGTAACTATGTAAAAATTCAAATCGCAGTAGTCTTACCGTTTGTAAAGAGGATTGTTGCCGTAAAGCTTTTTGAATGGCATTCTCCCAGTCGAACTTGGCATTGAGACGGCTTGATAATTCTTGCCATGTAATACCAATATCTGCAGAAAAGTKTAGGTGCTTTTACACTTTAAAGCTTTCTTAGGAAACTTAATTGGTGATGCCAGATAAGTTGCACAACCAATTTTTGGGTGTTACATGATTGTGGTCTCGTGGAAGCGACGTAACCGAACGGCCACTTCCAGGAAATTGACCTTGTTTATTCTGTGTTATGAGAGAAAAAGTACCTTGTTCACTAGTCACACGTTGAAGACACATGGGATTAACCCCTGCCAGGCGCATCTGAGCAAATGTACTGTCCTCCCTCCAAGTACTGTTGTTAATCACCCCCTTGAAAGGCATCGTGTCGAATGGAAAACGAACATACTTTGGTGGAAGCTGGCATAAATAAAGGAGAAAGATTTACAAGATACATTAAAACTGTATATTATATTTGGTGTGAATCAGTTTATTAATAATGATGATTATTATTATCTTAGTTGTGTTTCCTTGACTGAACACCCATGGATGGGAAGGTACTTACAACGTATTTGTCGATTTCTACGATTATACTCACAAACCTTTGGATTCTGCTTGTTCTTGTTGAGAAAATAGTAGTAAACATGTTCATAATCTTCAATTGATGTGAATTCTTTCTTGTACGTGGAAGGAAAAGTCACCTCCAGACCTTTGTTGAACCTTTTCAAGTATAACATAAGCTGTATCCAGTTCTTAGTGAAAGGATCRGACAAAGCCATACCTATCCCCTTCTTCAAGTCAATGTTATTCAGGACAAACGGTAAAGCAGTCGTCGAACTAAGTTTGTAGATGGATTTAAGAGTGGACTGTTCTCTCTTACGCTTAGCTTGGCAGTGGGCGTTTGCCTTTTGTGATATCTCAATTTCGCAAGGGATTGCTAAAGCAAGAATGAAGAGCATTATAAGGGCTTGTATTTATTTCGTTGTGTTGTGACTCAAGTCAGGGGCGGATCCAGAGGAGGTGTTTTGGGTGCGAACGCACCCCCCTTTTTTGACGACGTATTTTTTAATATATCAGTATAAACGTTGTTTTCTTCTGTTTATACTCCTGTTGTACTTTTATCGAGAAAACAAGTAGCATACACAAAATGTGTCTGCCACTAGGCTTCTTAACAATCTATTTGAGTAGTGTAGTCAAAGATACGTTGCAATGAAAGTCAAATTGCTTCCGGTCAAATTGTGTATAATTTTCTTGCTCTAGGCAACAATGATCAGTTCCATATATTAATGAAAAAAGCACTCCCCTCCCCTTATAATATGCTGGATCCGTCCCTGCAAGTTATGCTTCCTTATGAAATCATAAGCCAATGATAGACGGAATTGCACATACTAAACGTTGCACAAGCAAAAAACGAAAACTCCATGTAAGACTATTGGCGCTCCTATCGTCTGAGGATTTCTACAGTGCAGACTGATTTGATATCTTATCATATTTACCTTCAAGACAACCTTGACCTTCTTTATAACCACCCCATCCAGGACAACATTTGTATGAACCTTGCACCTCGTCATAACCACAGACATTTTGAATTAATGTGGTTGGTATTTCAGTGATATCATTTGCTTGCTGTGTTGTTGGAATTTTTCCAGTGGTTTTGGTGGATGGTTGAGTGTCGGGTACCGGTGTCAAATGGACGTCACTGCATTAAAAAAATGCTCTTTTAGTCGTAATACTCGATGCGAATGTCAGCCGAATACGAAAGTATATTTGGAAAATATTTCACACTTTAATTTACTGTTAAAACTGTTTCTTTTTTTGAGAAATAATGATAAATACCTTTTGCCTCCGTTGAAGACGAGAAACCAAATGCATAGCCATCCAGAAATTAGAATGACAAATAATAAGGAAGATACAAGAATTGCACGTAAAACGACCATGTTTGCTAATAGTAGTTAGCCAAATATTGGTAGATTCATCAAGTTTTTGTTCGTCAGTCAAAACTAATGATCTCTCGCCAAAAAAAGAAAACGACGTAAACAATCAAAGAAATTGACCTCGTTAGTCTTATCTCCTAGTGATCAATGCTCGCAAATCTTGTCAGTATTAATGAGCTCACCTATTAGTTTCATGTCTTAGCTATTTAATATAGTATCATAAGACTATCATTAACCAATAATAATCTATCTGCATAGGATTGCACGTAAAACTACCATGTTTGCTAAGAGTGGTAAATATTAGTAGATTCATCAAGTTTTTGTTCATCAGTCAAACTAATGACCTCGTTAGTATTATCTCTTGGTTGGCTTTCACCTATAGAATAGAATAGATACTTCATTTAAAGAGGGTGGCACTAAATAGCTAAAAAAAATCTGTGATCCTCAAAATAAAATAAATGTACAAAATAATGTAATATGATGATATCAATAACCTATCGGAAGATGTATCCTGCAAGGGAATTCTTTCTTTGAGAACATTTGATCAAGACAGTGAACTTGGTTAACGAGACCTATTTCTTTGTTAATATGTGCAATTCATACAAAATCAGTAATGAAGCGCTGTAAAGAAATGACGTGTACATTGGAAAACAAATTATTAGTGCTTTAGCTCCTGATTTGTTGGGAGAAATCCCTATCCGTTCAAAACAAATCACGAGTCGTGCGTTATTTAAAAGTTAACCTAAAGAATGGATATTAGAATCCCAAAACTTCTCCAAAAATTATGATTTACTATTCATCCCTTTTTCAATTTCGTTCTGAGTTAAACTGTTTCTTATCCTCTTTAAAATCGTGTTTTGATTACTGTATTGTATTTAGGAATTCTGAAAATACTGAATAATTATTTTTTTCCCGGTTTAAATTCGTTTAAAAGTTTCAATTATAAAGCATTCCATTTATGTGGATTTCTTGGGAATGCTGTGTCTTCCAAAGAACAGAACACTTACTATTTGAAAAACACTGACGCATGTATTTGCAATTTTCAAACTTTATTATTCCATTATGATACTTTGAACATGTCTCGCCTCGTCTTCAAAGTTTTATAAAACGCACATTGAATGTTACAGAACATTTGGCATTAAATTGAACCTTGATTTTCTTTAATGCATTCATTGTACAATGGATCTCAGCAAAGTTGGTTCCTATCATTGCATGCTCAACGGCTCTCTGGCTTCAATGCAAAGGCACGACTACTTTTCAAAATGGCGCCAGGAACTGTGAAGGAGACTATTTGTACATTTATATACTCATGCTGTTCGTTACCCATCCAGGAGTAAGCCAAGGGTAGGTCAGGTAGCCCAGTTGAAGTCGTTCTTTATTACGGTCATCCATTTGTCTCTTCACTTGAGTGACAAGATGACGATAATGTTTCTTGACAATCTCGCTTCCCGCTTTGTCTGATAATTGTGGTCCATAATCCAGCAGATCGTCAATGTGTAAGGACCCAAGAGAGAATGATAACCCGGCTTGGATCTGACATTAAGAAGTAGACGTGTACAAATCAAATTCGCAGTTTACCATTTTTTT